TTCTAAAAAAAAAAGACTCACCAGTGATGATGTACATAAGAATGGAGGCCCAGCCCAAGCTGAAGGATGTGCCAAATACTACTAAACGTTGGGCATATCCTGGGGATCTCCTAACAATGGCTGTGAACACAGACATGGCAACCAGAATGAGGAAACCTAGAGCCAAAAGAGAAGGAAAAGGAAGTGTGGAATGGGAATTTAAGAGCAACCTAGCAACCTCACCCATCAACCACGTAGTCAAGGCTGCTGGGAAGCTGGACCTCATTATCTCCAGGAAAGAATACCATGGCTGAAACTCATCCACTGATTAATGCTGCAGCCACTGTGGAAAACCTCTTCTGTTCACCAGCTCTTAATTGAGAATTGCCCTGGGACAACAGAACTGAAGGAGCACCCAATCTAATTATCCATCAAGCACAGGGCCATCCATATGAGCAAGAGTTATACCATAATAACCGAACAGGAGCTCCAACAACATGTAACCAGCTGACTTGAACTATCTACCAAGGCCAAGCTATGTCTCACTATTTCTTTCTGGGCTGGAACAGCTGGTCTCTCTCCAGCCTTGTCCCTTTGGATTGTGACCTTAAAGGCCGGGGGGGGGGGAGACAGACTGTCTCTTTTGCTCCCTCTTTTTAATTTGTCTGAGCGACTTTGAGAAGCAAGCACTGCCTGAAAAAATCCCCTTTTGGTTTTAGACATGCAGTCCAACAGCTGGAATAATTTGAGTTCACCCTTAGGGCATCCTTCATGCAAAGCACAGGTTCAGCCCCTGAAGAACGGCGTCTGTATTTACAAAGTCCCTCAAATAAGGGCTGAGAGCTGCTTCTGATTTAAGTTCCAAAAAGATGCATGAACAAAGGCCCTTCCTGAAAGTTTTATTCTAAGACTCTATATAGATTCTCAGTCATCCAGGTCATGGTTGTCCCAAAAGTGCTTTTTCAGGAGGCAACTGGACTTTCTTGTTTTTTCTTTGAAGACGTTTCGCTTCTCATCCAAGAAGCTTCTTCAGCTCTGACTGCATTCCTTTAGAGCAGGGGTCCTCAACCTTGGCAACTTTAAGACTTGTGGACTTCAACTTTAAGCAAAGCTGGCTGAGGAATTCTGGGAGTTGATGTCCACAAGTCTTAAAGTTGCCAAGGTTGAGGACCCCTGCTTTAGAGAGTTCCAAGAAGGCTCCATGCCCATTTGCACCACTTAGGTGGCCTTGAGGACATAGAAGAACCACCAAGTGGCTTCAACGACTCGCCAAAAGAAGGCAAATGACCAGCTATCTGCAAGGAGTATAAATCCTTCCCTTCCCCACCATCCAGTCAGACTTGAAGAAGCTTCTTGGATGAGAAGCGAAACATCTTCCAAGAAAAACAAGAAAGCCCAGTTGCCTCCTGAAAAAAACACCTTTGGATTTTGTCCTGAGACTATGCAGCAGCCGCAGAAGTACATGATACCAAGAAGAGACCCAGCTGCTTTAAAGAGTTGTAGGCAAAGGCTGTTTTTGCACTCTGTACCCACTCAAAAAACACTTTCTGGAATAAGTCTAAAAGCTTATTACCAACCTGCACTGAAGCTGAAGATGGCGGCTGCTTTTATCACCGATACATTGTATAGCTTGTTACGTTCAAAAGAGATGCAAATGAAAATCAACCCTATGAAGCCACAGAAAAGGGCCATCAGCAGGAAGGTGCGGGTAACATGGATGTGCAAAGCTGTGCCCAAGAAAAGAAAGAAAACATCAGTGTGTGTGGGTATGTGTAAGTGCTGTCTTCGCTGCTAACACCGGATGTTTTTGCATTGACAACAGATGGAAATGTAGCCATTTTCTTCCTTTTGCTTTTAGAGTTAGATGATGCTGGGGAGGGGGGATTTGAATGAGAGTCCAGCTAAACATAACAACACTGAACCTAGCGTGAGAATCAAGGTTATTGAAATCAGAGATGATAAAGAATTGGCGGGCTGGAGAGCTGGGGAAGAAGCTGGCGCTTCAAGCTAATTGAGGAATGTGATTTAGGACTGTAAATTGGAGGAGGGAATTGTGCTTTGATACTATGTACCCAGGGGAGGGGAATTCAGTTTTTGGCTTCGATTATGTAAGTGCCAATATTATGCTACTCGAATAAAAGATACTTTAAGGTAAACGATGCCTCGAGGTTCTTTTGAAGAATTTCATCTGTTGGAACCATGACAACTGCAGCTTCATAAACCTGTTCTTGCACCTCAAGGAGAATTCCAAAAATTCTGCACCATTTAGTAGTAAGTTGCCAAGTCTAAAGAATAACCTTCGTAAAAGGCATGTTAAACTTTCAACACATGTCCCTCTTTTACTAACACAGCTACAATTTCACATGTTAAAAAAAAAAGTCTGAAAATTTCAGTCTGGTTCACCGTTGCTAGCAACCCTTGGATATTAAAAAAAATGCTGAAATTAAATGAATCAGAGGGGTCATTACTCTTGTTATCAAATATTTAATGGTGAGAATGGAAGCGAGATCTGATTTTTTAAAAAAATAGCTGGGTTTTGCCCCATTGCTTAGTACCTAATGTCTACCTAGACATTAATTGAGATGTCAATTCAGAAATTTGGTCCCAATGGGTAGCAGGGCCTAGCCAAACTTGTCTGATCTTGAAATTAGTAATTGCATAGGGAAATCTGGGCTTGGTGTAATGGAATGTGCACCTGTAGGAGCAGAAGGGGAATCTTGGTAAAACTGAGCTTCCCCAGAAAGAAGCTTGGATGAAAATACTACGCGGTCCTGAACTGGGGATAGGAGAGGAAGTGCTGTGGCTCCGTCTTGTGAGCCCCTCTTATTGGAGGAAAAAGGCTCCGAACATGAAGGAGAGGAGATGGCCAGGCCTCCCTCTCCAGGACCCTCCTCTTTGGCAATGCCTCAGGTGTCTTCCGACGGAGAAGAGATTGACCAGGAGCCAGGTGGTTCTAAGATTGGCCAGGAGCCCGGTGTTTCTCAGATTGGCCAGGAGCCAGGTGTGTCGGATAATGAGGAAGAAAAGTTGTGGCTGGATCCATGCCAGCGTAGGAGCGACAAGCGTGCGCAGCAGAAAAAGAGATGTGCCAGAGATTAAGCTGAGTCACTGGACCACACCCCACAGGCTATAAAAGGGTGGTGGTGGCCATTTGGACCTCTGTGATGGACAAAAGCTGAATCTCTGGCAAAGTAGTGTGCTGTGGCTTTAAACTGTGTGTATTGTTTTTGTTTCTGTGTGTTTGGAGTAAAAGGTCTTGGCAGGCAGCTACGGAGCTGCTGCCA